TTTTGAGATAGGGTATCTTAAAAGTTGACCAGGCTGAGCTCAACCATACTATCTTAAGTCAGACTTCCAGAGTGGGACATGATGCCCATTTTATATTAATTTTTCTGACTTTGTTTTTCTTTTAACCTTTATTTTTGGTACGGGGAATAGAACGCAGGAGCTTATGCTTACTAGACAAGCTCTTATGCCACTGAGCTGTCTCCCTGGCCCTATGCTTAGGTTTTTAATACCCCTCCAGATATGACCCTCCAGTACTGAGGGCTGAGCCCGGGGATCACAAAGCCACACACGCAGCACTTTTTACTATTTTGAGACAGGGTTTTGCTAAATTTCCTCAAAAATTCATGTCTCAAGTAGCTAGAATCATAGGTGTGATCCATCATGCCTAGTTTAAGCTCTCAGTGGTGTACTTCTGAAAAAGATGACTTAATTTATCACCTAAAAAGTAAATGTCGGGGCCGGGGAAATGGCTCAGTAGAATAAGCACTTCCCTGGCAAGCACAAGAGCCTGAGTTCAATCTCTGGTTCTACAAAAAAAAAAAAAAAAAAAAGTAAATGTATTCCCTTTACAAATATGTTCAATTTTTTTTTTTTTTTTTAAACATGGAATGCTTCACAAATTTGTGTGTCATCCTTGCACAGGGACCATGCTAATCTTCTGTTTTTGTTTTTTTTTTTTTCAGAATGAGGGATTGAATTCAGGTCCTTGAGCTTGCCAGGGAAGCGCTTACTCCACTGAGCCATCTCCATAGCCCTAATCTTCTCTGTATCATTCCAATTTTAGTATATGTGCTGCTGAAGAGAGCACTGTTCAATAATTTTTTTAAAGAGAATGATAACATCTTATTATTCTTCACAGTACTTTTTAAAAAATTTATTTATTTATTTATTTTTTGGCGGAACAGGGGATTGAACTCAGATCCTTGCGTTTGCCAGTCAAGCGCTTGTCCTACTGAGCCATCTCCCCGGCCCCTTTTTTAAATTTAAAAAGGAATCTAATTTCTTTTTTTGGGTGGGGGTAGAGGGACCATGGCTTGAACTCAGGACAGTGTGCTTGCCAGACAGGTGCTTGTGCGGCTGAGCTATACCCTGGGCTCTTCTACATTTTACTTAAAAACATTTTTTTTTTTTTTTTTTAAGAAAAAACTTGTTCTGAGGACTGAATACTTACCATGAAAACAGAATAAAGGAGTTCTATTTATTCCTGCCAGTTCAGGGGTAAGCCTTGTCCTGTGATCTTTTAAGACGACACACATGACTTTAAAGCACTTACTGGGGGCTGGGGAGATAGCTCAGTAGAATAAGCGCTTGCCTGGCAAGCACAGTGTCCTGAGTTCGATCCCCAGTACCTAAACAAAACACTTGTTGGAATCCCACCCTTTCAGGTTTGGGGGCTCTTGGTGAGAGTATAAATGGGGAGCCCTGTGGCAGTGGCATCCCGACAATGGGTGGACACCCTCTCGCCTTTTTTTTTTTTGGTAGGACAGTTTCAATAATTAACACATCCCCCTTGCCTTTTAAGAGTAGGAACATTTATTGGACTAGAGGGATAGGCGGGTCCCGAGTGGGCGGCCCAGATGCCCCCTTCTTCCGTGCAGCGTGGAAGGTGCGAGCATTCATCGGTGTGTGGGCGCGTGCGTCGGAGTCGCAGCAGGCGGGTGCAACTGCTCCCTTCCCTGCCGGCCGTGGCCAGCGTATTGCTGGAGGAAGGGGAAGGCAGGGCGGGGCAGGGACGCAGCTCTGGGGCTTAGGTTGCGGGCGGCGGATCGCGCAAGGCCGGTCGCGGGCGGCGCGGGCTCCCGCCGAGCCCCAGCACCCTCGCAGACCTCGCAGGGCTGCGGGACGGGAAGTGCCTCCGGAAATATGCCATATTGTCTACGGCAGTTTCGGGAGAGTAGTACAACCCCAGCAAATCACGGCCAAATCTTGTCTGTAAAAATGGAACGGTCTGGCCCAGGACGCGTCCGCTCTCTTCGAGACTAGGCAGAGCCACTCTTGGCCTCTCTTAGCCCTTCACTAGACAAAGGCCCGCCTCTACCTTAAGATAAAAAGACAGCTTCCAGAACCTGCATTTTGGGATCTTCTCGGCCGGTTCCTCAGCGTAGTTTCCGCTTCTGGTCATGTGGCTCGGTAATCGGCCACCGCAGCCTACGGAGCCCCCTTCCCAGTCCACCGACCGACACGTCACTGCTCGGCTCTCAACCAAACTTCCCCGAACAGGTTCTTTCCGCGCGCTTCACTCTCACGCGCCGGCCTATGATCGCTCAGTGGGAGTTCATAGTCCCGCCCCCACGGTACTAAGTGATATCTTTACTGACCAATTGAAAAGTGAAAGCCCGACTTTATCCCCGCCTCAGAATCTGACTGACAAGGACACAGTCCTATCCCTTCCCAAAATGGCATATTGGCCGGAAGCCATCCAATAGGGAGTGGTCCGGGAGGCGGAGCCGGCCCCCAGGGTTGGGTGCGCCACTGAGCGGATGGCAGAGGGAGCGGAGTGGCTTCCCGAGGAACGCTGGCTGGCTGAGGAGGCCGTAGGCTGTAAGTTGAGAATTAGCTGCAAGTACTGTCCAGGATGTTGCTTGAGCGAGCGAAGCGCAGGAAGCAGGACTCTAGAAGGTGGTGGGAGGCAGATCTTCGGGCCTTTAGAGCAGGGGGTGTGAAGTGTGGTGTGGGGACCTCGTGGACTGGAAGGATGTGGCGCCTCTGGGGAAGGCAGCTGAGGGAGAGTCGTGGGACGGGGCGTGCACTTAGCTCTGGAAAGCTTGGGAAGGACTGCGGCCAGGAACTAGGGTGTCGAGGGGGGTTCAGGCGGCGGGTGCTGAGGTGGTGGGGGTCCTGCGGGGGGCGGGGTCAGAGGCGGTCCCTTCCACGGGGCTGGGGAGGACAGGCGGGTGGGACCTGCCGCAGAGAGGCGAGGGAAGAAGGGGCAAGGACGCGGGGCTGGGGAGCTTGCCGTCTCGGCGTCTCGGCCTGGGTGGGACAGATGTCAAGCCTTGGCGGACACAGTTGAGGAGGAGCGAGCTCCTGACTTCTTAAGAAAAGTGTATTTGTCGTTATTTGCTTTGGTGGCGTGCGAAATGACCAGCGAGCACACGATGAAAACTCCCTTGAGGTCTGGCCTTAAATTACCAACTCCTGCGCTCGGTTTTCAGGCGCTGCCGCTCTTTCCATGTTTACTCTTCCAGGTGTGTGCATCTTGTCAACTCAGTGGTGCAGAGTCTTCTCTTTCAGCCGATCCTGAAAGCTTGCACAAACTTGAGATAGAGGGCTGGGTTGTTGGCTTCTTGTACTTAGGGTTTTGATTCCATGATAAGGTTTTCCTTCGGGATTATAATTAAATACACAGCTAACGCTCCTCCCCTGGGACAGTTAATTATAGAAAAGATGTTTGACGTCTCGGTGTTGGCGCTAGAAATGTGTGATTCTTCATGCCTTCTATTTAGACCAGAGTATTTTTTTCTTCTCCTTTTGCTCCAATAGTAGTGAGAAAAAGATCAGGAATAGTGGAAAAAAAAAATTTCACTGCAGTTTTGAACAGTGTTGTTATATTTTTTTCCCTTAGGCCCTCACTAGCTTGTGGTTTAATAGTATAATTTTGTCTAGTACTGAAATAGGTAACTTGCTATGGTATTAGGTAACTCTTGCCCATATTTTTTTGTGGTACCAGGTATTGAACTCAGGACTCTGCACTTGCCAGGCAAGCACTTATTCTACTGAGCTGTCTCCCTGGCCCCCTAGTGGTTACCATTCTGAACTTCTTTATTTAAGAACTTTTTTGTTTGTTTTGTTGGTTAGTGAGAAGGTCTTGTTTTGTAGTGGCTGGTCTTGAACTTCCAGTGTAGCCAAGGCTGGCCTTGAACTCAGGGAGATCCTTGTGCCTCAGCCTCCCAAGTGTTTGGAATAGTGGCAGGCACCAGTACTCCCAATTTGTTCTAAACTCTTCGCAAAGAGTTAACATTTTAGTCTAGCCCTTGCTTTTCTCCTTCAATAGGAAAAATTTCTTTTCTTTTCCTTTCAGATTATTATCTGGTACTATAAACTGTGTCATGAAATCAGTCACCTAGATTGGTTTCAATTACAGAGACACTTTGAAACAGAAAGAGTTGAACAGTAATTACAGTGTGGCAAATCAGATTGAAAGTACAGTGATCCATTTTTTTTTAACTTCTCTCTTTTTAAAAAAATTTTTTTTTGGTACCGGGGATCAAACTTGGGACCTTGCGCTTGCCAGGTAGGCACTTATGCTGCCAAACTATATCCCCAGCCTTCTCTCTTGAGTGCATGACTGCATCTACATTATTGTCAATCATATATATTTTTTTAAGTACTGTAGACTGAACTCAGGGCCTTCACATGTCCCCAGGCCTTTAAGAGCATTAAAAAAACATTTTTTTAGACAGCATCTTGCCAAGTCACTAAATTATGTGGGCTGGTCTTGGACTTAACCGGGGATTGAACTCAGGCCCTTGAGCTTGCCAGGGAAGCACTTATTCCACTGAGCCATCTCCCTGGCCCCTGGTCTTGAACTTTTTTTTTTTTTTTTAAATTTTATTTTTTTGGTCTTGAACTTTTGATCTGCCTACTTTAGCCTTTCTGAGTGCTAGGATTGTAGGACTGTAGGTGTGCATCACTGTGCCTGGCCAGACATACTGTTTAGTTGATTCTGCAACCCCAGTGAAATTTGGAGCAGTATGAAGCTTATAGTCAGTGAGCTGAGACTTCGAATTAGGGTTGGAAATTGTGCTCATTTAGTCATGACTTTATCTCTTTGTGCTTTTACTTCTATACCTACTTTTTGTTTACTTTTCCTCTCCCATATATTCTTACTTTTTCTCACATACTGTTTCTCTGTATCATTTCCATCTTTTGGTTTTTTAGACCTTTTCCTTCCACCGGTTTTTCTCTTTTATTTACATTTCTATTTTACTCATGTTGTGCTTATATACTTGTTAGTTGTGAGGGTGTGGGAACAGAATTGTGGGTGGTATATTTGATCACTACTTTTTAGTCTTGAACATGGACTGACTTATGTCTGCTTCCTTGCCAGGAGGTTATACTTCAAGGAGGCTTGGGAATGGGTCTGACCCTTTTTGATGTGTTCCCTAGCTAATTCGTCCATTGTAGTTCTACCATAAGATAGGAAAGTCAATGTATTAAATAAATTGAAGGCATTCAGTATTGTAAGGTCTTAACTCTTCCATTTTAGTTCTTTGTGTGTCACCTGTTGCCACCTGTTAATGTCAAGATGACTAAGCTTGGATTTTTGCGGTTGTCCTATGAGAAGCAGGACACACTTCTGAAGCTTCTCATTCTGTCCATGGCTGCTGTGTTATGTGAGTGTGCATGTGGGTCTTTATTTCTTTGGGGATGGAAAGAAGAAAATCTCAAGAAAAATCGAAAATAACTTTCTTAAAATGCCTTGTTTGGGGCCGGGGAGATGGCTCAGTAGAATAAGTGTTTCCCTGGCAAGTGTGAGGGCCTGAGTTCAATCCCTGGTTCTGAAAAAAAAAAAAAAGAAAAGCCTTGTTCTTTTAGCAGATTTCTGGGGGCATTTTGTTTTATTTTTGGGGCTGGGGGATAGGGCCTTGCTTTGCAGTTCAAACTGTTCTTAAACTCACTTTATAGCCCAGGCTAGCCTCAAACTCGTGATCCTCCTACCCGAGCTTCCCTAGTGCTAGGATTATAGGTGTACACTAACATGCCCCGCTTAGCAGATTATTATTCTTGTTACTATTCCCCATCAGGATAATTTTGTGCAGACAAAATAAAAGAAACATAAGAAATATGAAGGGGAAGAAAAAAAGAAATGTGAAAGGGCTACCTGGGAAGCATGTTGTGCTCATTCTACTTTCTCATAGGGCTGAAAGATACTGGGGACCACTGGCTACTGATTTCTGTAAAAGACAGTTGTTTAGGTGGCTATCTTAGTGCTATTTTTTTGTTTTTTGTTTTTTTGAGACAATGTCTTACTGTAGTTTAGCTGGCCTTGAACTCACTATGTAGCCCAGGCTGGCCTCAAACTCAAGGCAATCCTCCTGCCTCAGCCTTCTAAGTACTGGGATCACAGGCATGATGTGCTTGGCTTATGGGAAGTCTTTTTGAGAATGCAATTCTGATTTTAGATTTCTGACTCTTCACGAGTCATAAATATGGTTTTGATTGACATACCTCATCATTTGCTCCAAAGTTAAGTAGTGCTAATATGTGCATGGAGCTCTCTGTACCATGTAAAGGGTGACTGTGTGAGTTCAGCTCAGTATTGATAGGTGAGTATAATGTTACAAGTTTTGTATAATATATTACGTAGTTAAATGTGTCTTACGTAAGTGGAAAATGTAGATGGCATTGCTCGGCTAATTTTGTTTTCTCTGTGGGGAGAGATGGATAAAGACTTAATTCGGGATTATTTTATATTTCCTGTGAGCCTGTGCCACATAATTTTATTTTCTCTATAAGATTTATGGGTCATCTGCTGTTGCTCTTTCATTGCACATTGCCATAAAAATATTCATTCTCTGATTTTTGTAGCTTTCTCCACTCGTCTTTTTGCTGTCCTGAGATTTGAAAGTGTTATCCATGAGTTCGATCCGTGAGTACCTTTGCTTGGTCTGGTGTTATTTGGGAGGCATTCAGATTCATGGCTTTCAGATTAAATTCCATCAGTTTTCAGTGAAAAGGGTGTTTTCAGTGCAATTAAAGGCAGAATCCTTCAAGTTCTCCATAGAAATAATCATCTCTTCGAAACATTGCTGTTGCAATGTGCAGGTGAGTCTTATAAACAGAAAATGTGAGTGGTATTGATCTGCTGAGGCCAAAAAAGCTTGGCTTCTCAGTATGACCAACCATTAGTGATATAGATTGAGGGCCTGGTGTATATTCAAGGCTTGAAAGAGAATTATAAATCATGAACTTGTAGTCTCTGACTTTTTGTGGTTCCTTTCTGTTTAGCTGTTTATAGAGTAGAAATTGGACTTATTGTTACATTCTAAAGCATTAAGAAATATAATATTGGGGCCAGGGAGATGGCTCAGTAAAATAAGTGCTGGGCCTGAGTTCAGTCCCCGGTTCCGAAAAAAAAAAAAGAAATGAAAAGAAATATATTAAAGCTGAGATTGATTAGGGATTTTCTTTATTGGATTTAAAATGATATTGGGGTGGGGCCAGGGAGATGGCTCAGTAGAATAAGCACTTGCCTGGCAAGTGCAAGGGTCTGAGTTCAATCCCTGGTCTGGAAAAAAAAAAAATGATATTGGGGAAACCCCTATTTTTTAATTTTTATTTTTTCTTCTTTGCTGGCAGTCCTAGGGATTGAACTCTGGCCTTTTGCCAGCAAGGCAAAAACTACCTCTGAGTCACATCCCTGGCCCAGTTTTCTTTTTTTTTGTATGGGCCTTGGTACTAAGCTACGCCCCCCAGTCCCTTTTGTAAATTTATTTTGAGACAGGGTCTCATTAAACTGCCCAGGTTAGGCTCAATTTTTTTTTTTTTGGTGGTACCATGTATCAAACTCAGGACCTTGTGCTTGCCAGGCAAGCGCTTATTCCACTGAGTTATCTCCCCAGAAGGTTCAAATTTTTGGTAGTCTTTTTTTAGCCTCTCAGAATGTGTGGGTTATAGGCATGTGTCATCATGCCTGGCTCTCAGTAGTTTTAATAACATTTACTAAGCATTTGTTTTATTTCAATAAGAGTTTTATAGATTTTGTTAAGTCCTTACCACAGTCCTATGAGAAGTAGCTAATTTCATCCCTTTTTACATATGAAAAGACTTAGGTTGGGGGAAGTTGTCCAAAGTTGTACATTTAGTAAATACAGGAGTCAAGATTTCAATGTAGTTTTGTCTCACTCCTGAGATTGCAGTCATTGTTATATTTTCTAAAACTAGGGCTTATGGAAAGGCAGGATCATAGATTCTTAAAAATCAGGTATTCACCTGTGGAGCACTGAGTGCAAAGTTGAATGCCTGTACCTGTTTGCAGATTTATCATTTTGTTTTGTGTAGATAGCTGAAAGAATTTAGAGGCATCTCAGATATTCTCTCTTGGGCCTCCAAAGACATTGTGTATTATTTTCTCTTGATTGAGGAAACTCATCCTTTATTTTTTTTTCTTTTTTGGAGGGTGGGTACCAGGAATCAAACTCAGGATCTTGCACTTGCCAGGTTAGAGCTGTGCCTTTGAGCTATATCCCTAGCTCTCCTTTTTTTCTTTTTTCTTTTTTTTGCAGAACTGGGGATTGAACTCAGGTCCTTGTGCTTGCCAGGCAAGCGCTTATTCTACTGAGCCATCTCCCCAGCCCCTCTCCTTTTTTTCTTGATGAGAGTATTATAACTCTTTCTTAGACCCTCTAGATGAGCAAATGTTAAGGTAAGAGGGCCAGGGAAAACCAAGAAATGTGCTCTATAGTCACAGAACTGGAAGGAATCATAAAGATTATGTGATTTGACCCTTTTGCTGAGGACATGTTCCGAGTTCTCAGCAGGACAGGCCCATTCCAAACCTGTCCCACTGACCTACACTAACTCTCACTAGCTTCCTACTGGAAAGTAGAGGACACAATTCTGACATGTCAGCTGCCTGTTGCCCTCAAACCTTCTGCCTCTTGACTGTAACAAAAGTAACATTTATCAGTGATGAATGGAAGGGTAGAGATTTCTGCCATTTGTTGCTTCTACTTAGTTCAGTTGCCAAACCTTCACTGACCAAAGAGAAAATAGGCTTAGGTAGATGGGCAGGGAGGATATTTGTATTTTGTTGGTTTTTTTGAGACAGAGTCTTGCTATAGTTCAGGCTGCCACTGAATTCACTGTATAGCCCAGGCTGGCCACAAACTTGTGGTAATCCTCCTGCCTCAGCCTCCTGAGTGCTGAGATTACAGACATGTATCACCCTACCCAACTTTGGTAGGAGGGCTAGTCATTTAAGTAATTAAACTATTGCCAGTTTGACATATTTTTTTTAATTCCTTTCTTTTTTTTTTTTTATTATTTCCTTTTAAATGGTAAATGTATAAGGCCTTACCTAACTTAGACCTAAAGAAATGTCTTTTAAAAAAAAAAAAAAAAAAAGAAATGTCTTTTCATATATAACACTTGAGCATTTCATATCATGTATTTTTTATGCAATCTGATTTTTTGCTATAATGTAGGTGGCATTCAGATATACTTGAAATGACATGAGTAGACCTTATAAGTTTAAACCCAATAGTTTGTGTTATGGTGTGGACTGAATCATTTTCACCCCACATACAGGGTTATATCAGCATCTTTAAAGGTATTCATCCCTTGAAGTTACCATGTGTCCTTGTGTGTGGTTCAGAGATCTTTTTGTGTTCCTTGTCACTTGAAATGGGCAAAATTTACTGGTACCCACATCTCAGTGGTCTTGTCTTATTGGCATTTTATCTCTCTTGATAGGTCTTGTCACCTACCACATGCCAGGCTGGTAAATTATCCTGCTTGAATGCTTGTGGTGACATTGGGCTCCAAGGTTATTTCTTTAAGGAAAAAACTATTCGTCAGTTGCAACATGAATGAAGTACAGATAACACATCTGGTACTGTAGTGAGTTTGGGTAGCAGGCTGACCTAGTCAGATTATAAGTTCCTCAGTGCTAGAGCCTGAAGAGCATATTTCACTTCAGATTAGTATTTGCTTAGGAAGAAGAAGAGATACAGGCCTTTATTTTTCCTGCCGCAGGTACTTCAATTATCGGACTACCCGGTTTTTAGCTGAGGAGGGATTTTATAAATTCCACAACTGGTTTGATGACCGGGCCTGGTATCCTTTGGGCCGAATCATTGGAGGAACAATTTATCCAGGTGAGAGGAACAGGATTTTTTGTTTTTCAGTAAGGCATAGTATTTATATGTACGTTAGAAAACAACTTCTTTTATTTCTAATAGCTTCACTAGATGACACTTGTAATTTCATTCCGATGATAGATTTCCAAAAGCAGATCATACATAAAGACAGGAGAACATGTGTGAGAGAATGGAGAGAGATAGTTTTTTGTACATTCTGGATTTCCAGTTAAATCCTTAGGAGGGAAATTTAGAGGCCTGCCCCAGTTGCTGAGATGGTGTTCTTGTGGTTTGTCAAGATTGCTGTGGTCACTTTATTGATAATTAAATTGGTCCCGTCTCTTTCCCTTAGGTTCTTTATGTTACCAGGACAACCTAATGGAGTTTCTTCTTCCTGTTGCAGGCTTAATGATCACTTCTGCTGCAATCTACCATGTTCTTCATTTTTTCCACATCACCATCGACATTCGGAATGTCTGTGTGTTCCTGGCCCCTCTCTTCTCCTCTTTCACTACCATCGTCACGTACCACCTTACCAAAGAGCTCAAGGTGAAGGATTTGGGGTGGCAAGAGGCTTGGGAATGAATGCTGTTGAACCTCTCTAGTAGGTGCTGGAGGGTAGGAGACTGACAGCCTTACAAGCAAGAAAAAGAGAGGCTAAGGACAGTGTCTGCTGGGCTGAATTAATTTGGTTTAGTCCAAGCTTTCCCTGGAATATATGGTTCCTTATCATCAGCAAGTGTTTGTTCTTATGAGAGGACATTTGAAAGTCAAATGTAAATTGCTACATGAAGGGGAAATCAACCATGTGAAATGGAAATGTTAGGTTTAGATATTTATGTTTTTGCTGGAGATCAAACCCAGGACCCAGGGTCCTACACATGCTAGGCAAGTGCTCAGTTACTGAGCTGAGATGTAGATTTTGAAGCCCTGAAAATGTAAGGGAAAGGGAAAAACAAAATCTACGTGAATTCTTAAAA